ATATATACATAATATACATACATATATACATAATATACATACCAATATATACATACATATATATATACACAAATCCAAGCAGCCATACATACATAGAGAAATACATCCCCCCCAAACCCACACATGTGTATGTATGAAAGTCTGTATATCTGTATATGTATATATGCATATGTATAAATATATTAATGTGTGTGTATATATATGTATATCTATCCATGCATCCATCCATCCATCTATCCATCCATCCATATTAATAATTAAACACTTTAAATCTCACCTATTTCTGGGAATCCAACGTAGCGTAACTGATACGGCAACTCTGGGTGATCTACAGCTCGTCTTACTCTCAGCATAACACCTTGTGATGTAGGACCAGGTGTGGGTGCAGCTGCATTTTTTTAAAGATAATTGGTATACAATCATAAAACATTGTAATTATATGATGATAATACAAAATAATACAAAATCTTATATATAAGAATATATATCGGAGATACATAAAAAGCAACACAAATGTTCACAATCATTCACATATCTCCGTGTGTGTGTGAAGGCACACACACATACACAAAAGAAAGCAAGCATGTACAGCTGGACATATAAGAACACAAAAAAAAATTGTACATTATTCTTATTCTTGACTGGTAATGAAAACCTAACCATTACATCTGCTACTTTATTTTTCAAGTGTCAGTTCCAGGATTTGGGTTACTTATTTTGTCAAGGTATTTTGACCCCAATCTTTGGTGATAGATGTATCCATTACGAACACATCTTTTGATCAGTGATGTCTCTGCTTTGAGGCTAGAAAGATCTTCCATCACTCTGCGTAAGGGGTCCTTGCTTCCTCTATGACCATCTGTGGGAATGGTCAGATACTCCAGAGCATGGAAATAGTGTCCTCCTTGGAGCCGGTGCTCTTCCAGTCATGGCTCATGGATCATACATTCCTCACTTGTTCATCAATGAAAATAATGCAAAAAACGCTTCCTAAATGACCACTGAGTCTAATCACACTTTAAGAGCTTAGGGCACTCATGGCAAGTCATTCCTGTAACCACAGTCTTCAAGCCAAATTTTTCATGACAATGTTTACACTGTCCAGATCGTAGGGGTTACAACTTAGTGTGCATCTCTTTATTTGACATTGTTTTGCCAGTCACTATTTTGTCTAACTGAGATGTCTAACCCTTAGTTCACATTGCTCTTCCTGTGGCCAACACAGGGTACTGTTGGTGGATGTCATATGTCTGAGAAACAAGTACACTCCAAATGGGCTACTTGCAATGTGCCAGTGGGCATGCGAAGAGGGTTGCCTGTGTATGTTTTAGCCCTGTAGTAAGCACAAGATTTCTCCTTGTGGGACATTGCTGTACCTTTAATAGTTCTACTACCTTTTCATAACAGCTGGCTATGTCAGTTCAGAGGTCATGGCTTACTTTGCCTCTTTACAGTTGCAAAGGTTATCTACCGTTTCTTTCTAAAAGCAAAGTGTTACCCTACCATAGAATTCACTTCAGACCACCTGCTTGCAGTCCATCCTCTGCACTCTTCTATTTGCCGTGACGATGTCTCATTGCAGGCAATCAATCAGGATGCCTCCCAAGTTCAGACGTGAGACTAGCCCTCAATACTCCCTCTTTGTCATGTGTGCCACACTGATGTTTCATTCACTTCCTTCCTACTTTTTGCAAGTATTTTATCGGCCTCTGTACCTGAACTCAAGAACAGAGAATGGGTAAGATATGATGAAAAATGTGTATTTTTCAGTCTATTGAGCTATGATATCTCACTCCCTTTCTGTTTCATCACTGGTACTCTTGTTGTCCTAAATTTTAGAATCTGAAATGCTGTTTGATGCTGGAGAAGGTGAGGGGAGAGGTGGATGATGGGGAGTTAAGGAGTAGTCAGCAAGTGGATTTTTGTTTTCACTTGCTGGTAATGACACATGCAGTTTTCGCTACAAACACTTTCAGTTAAGATTTCTAGATGGACCCTGACATGAGCTAAACATAATCCAAAGTAGTTCTGTTCACTGATATTTGTATGGAGTAGCTAAAAGCAGCCACTTGGACTTGCTCCTAGTCTGTCCCTATTCACAAGGGCCACTAATGCTCCCTTTTCATTTCATTTGCTATGTCTGGCACTGATGTATTGAATAATATCTCAACAGCCCTTGTTTATATGTTTCCTATATTGCAAAGTTTCTCTCAGTTCTAGGCTAATCAAGTTTATAAAATAATAGTTTTCATATTACATATGGGTGAAGCAATATTGAATTATTGTGTTGACATATTACAGACTATCAGGACCCAATATCCACCCCTAATGCTTTCAAAACTTTAAAATAGGTCAGCCTAGCCAACAGGATCTAGGGTAGGGCTGGGAGGAAGAGTGTACTTAAAACAGCACACCCCTTTGTGGCTAGGCCTAAGCTGTGTACAGGCAGCCCATCCATTGCGATGGCTATAGTTATGCCCTCTGCATCAGGATGCTTTTTTTCATTGTCCTCAAAATTGAGATTTTTTATGCTGTATCTGCCTTCCCATTGCAAAAGAAAGATAGTCTAACCATGCTAACAGAATGAATTCAAACTAATCATTCACAAAATTTACCTGAAAAATCCTTCAAAAGGAACACAATCTCATGATCATGAAATGTTTCTGGTTGGATGTCAGCATTATCACAGAGTCCTCGTAGTCTATCAATCACTACTAATAGTGATGCATCCAACACTGATCCTGAAAAAATACAGGTATATATTAGAGTCTGCAATACTAACAAAAAATATATATATTTATAGTGTTAACCCATCATTGCTGGGAAAGTGTACCATTCATTGTGGCAATGCTTTGTGAAATGTTTGAGCACACTGATGGCACAAAAGTCAATTAGTAGACCCTGTGACCTCACCAGAATTCACCTTTTCTTGAGTTTACCGGATTTTTTTTTTCACAATTGTCAATGTTGTTATTATCATTATTATTACGGATGTTATAATCATTTGAGTATTATTTACACTACCAACAGTAGTACAAGATAGCAGAAAATATTTCTTTAAAAAAAAAAAAAAAAAAAAAAAAAAAAAAAGGTAAACAGGTGAGATAGCTAGTACATATAAGAAAATTAATTGGTGACAGTACTTGTGGAGCCATCTATTAATAAATTAATAAACTAATCTCACATTGGCCATGGCACGTATAGTTAACAAAACTTCCAATTAGTACATCACTTGTCTGGAAGTTGCAATTCTTATCTGGCAATACTTTTGCAGTACGTAGTATTCCATGAATGGAGAGGTAATTGGTTGAAATAATTGTACAAATAAGTACAACACGTGTGTGTGTATCAATCTATTCATCATTCTATAAACCTACCTTTATATGCGTGTATGTAGATATGTATGTATAAGTATGTGTGCATATATCGCATTAAGACACACACACACACACACACACACAACAGAAACACACACACACACACACACACACACACACACACATTCACACACACACACACACACACACACACACACACACACACACACACACACACACACACACACACACACACACACACACACACACACGGCACACACACACACACACACACACACACACACACACACACACACACACACACACACACACACACACACACACACACACATCACACACACACACACACACACACACACACACACACACACACACACACACACACACACACACACACACACACACTCACACACACACACTCACACACACACACACACACACACACACACACACACACACACACACACACACACACACACACACACACACACACACACACACACACACACTCACTCACTCACTCACTCACTCACTCACACACACACCACACACACACACACACACACACACACAACACACACACACACACACTCACACACACACTCACCACTCACACTCACACTCACACACACACACACACACACTCACCACACACACACACACACACACACACACACACACACACTCACACTCACACTCACACACACACACACACACACTCACACACACACACACTGTTTTTATAAGACTGTTCTATCTTTATTTTATTTTCCGTATTGCTATCTGAAAAAAAAGTAAAACCTTGATTTCCATCAGTAATAATAACAAAAGATTATTGCTGGTTTGGAAATAATTTCAAATCACTACTCTGCAGTAACATGAAATTAACTGAAATCACGTTCACATTTGACCCTAGATTTATATGCTCATCCTCAGTTTTATACAAGAGACAATTATGTCTTACAGATCATTATAACATTTCCTTGTTTTCCTCTCTATGAATACCTTTGTTAGGCTTGAAACTAACTACTAATAAAATGTGTACATATTGGTAAAAAGCAATAAAAAGATAAAGAAATACAGAAATTATACAAATTTTTATGATACATAAAATCAATTGGGTTGACAGTTGCCAAACTAGGATTTAAATCAAGACAGAGTGGGTTACCTATTTTTTCAAGTACAAAGTCTCAGAATTGCATTACCTCAGATAAGAGACCCATGTGGTATGAAACAAGTTCATCCTCTACATAAAATTAGAATGTAACTGCTGAGAAACAAAGCTATCATATGACCTTACCCTGCAGTAAAAACTCTTGATCATGTACAATTGCATTCTTCTGGGCAGAATCAATTGTATCCATGGCATTGGGTACTGTTAAAGCCATGGTTAAGAATCTGAAAGAGAGAAAAATATTTCTGTTGCAACAAATACATATCTTAAATATGGGATCCAGTTCTTGTGCATGTCGGTATGACTTTCATAAATCCTTAAGTTAAAAAAAATATATATATATATATATCATAAAAAATAAGTAAATAAATAAAAAATGTTGATTATTCAGAATACCTTAACATAACCAATCCCATAGATAGTGGTATCAATTGATTCCTTTCACTCTCTATTAACTATATATGTTGAAATTATGCTAAGGACACCCCTCCCAATCTTGGCCCCAATAGTGGGGAAGGGCATGAAAGGTACCAGGAAAATTGCTGGGTAAAATATGAATAATAGAGAGAGAATTGTCAGCCCCAAAGGAGAGGTTGCAGTAGGCACATCCCCTTGCTTTGGACTGGGGCTGTACATTATCATGGTGACGTATCTTGCGTATATCATTTGTATTCTATCCTGGTTCCTTTCATGCCTTCCCCTGCTATCACAGGGCCGAGAATGAATGAGCAAATATCTTTCATATATAGGCAGCAGAGGGTTAGAGGAATCCATGGTCATTACTGGTCATGAAAAGGTATTCTAAACAATTAGCAAAAATAATTTCATATAAAAATATGATCCTGCCACTTTTTTTTTTTTACCTTCATCCATCACGGATAAACAATCTTCTTAGGTGCTTTTGTTTAAATTGTTAAGCATTTCTCTAGAAAAAGAGCCTTTAATAAACAGATAAGAAATTACTGAACATTCAATTCATCAATAGAAGATAACCAATGAAACCTATTAGTAAATCAAGAGGCAGTCATAACCCAAGGACTATTTCATGTTGCTTATTGGTTGTGGCATCATGCATTTTGTCTACGTGTGACTACTACACTGCCTTTGGTACAAGATATCCACTGACGATGTGGGATATACACTGGCAATGCACCCAGGAGCTTCATCATCCAATAAGACAACAATCCAAGCTTTAGCCTGTCAGAATATATGTGGATGTGGTTAAGTTCCCAAGAGCAATGCACAGAGATAGAAGGAAAGAGATAGTCAAAACATATTTACCAGAAAATGACAGAAATATTAGCAGCATATCACCACTCAGAGACTAAGTGCACAACACCCTCACGCAGCCAAAGTTCTTCCTGCACGTTTTCTATGAAGTTTGCACATAGTGCTAATAAAGTGGGGATAAACAGAAGGTACGAAAGGATCGGTTTGATTTTTTTGGTTCATATGATACCCTGGTTTGGGGGCTTTGTCTCTGGAGGGTGTATTGCTCTCAGTAACAAATACCATGGATGTTTGTTGACCTTAACAACCTTAGAACAGTGAGGTGCAGAAGCAACTGCAATCACTCCATACACAGTACACTATGTAGGTAAGCAAACTAACAAAATCCCAGTTTACATTTATACATTATTTGGAAACTGAAAGCATTTCATACATACTGCCTACCTAGACCCCTAAAACCCTAATGTTCCACAGGTTCCTAAAGTTCTGTGGGATGGAGTTGTCAACTCAAAACCTTAGACTTGCACTGAAAATGAACAGTTTAGTTAATCTTTATGGTATGGATGCTGCGTTCGGAACTGCTCGTCCTGCTCGTCCAGACCAGTTGGACAAGATGTCTTGACCATTCAGAAACTCTACCAGCTCAATAGCTTCTGTATGTAAACACTGACAGGTGCAGGCAACCACTAGGTATTGATGGGTAATTTTATGGCCTTTTATTGATGTTATCAAAGGATATTTTTGTGTTTGTCAGTTGCAGGTAAGTTAAATATGCACCAAAGTAGTTACAAAACCTATGCAGCGTGTAAAATAGAGACAATGGTATAATAAGAAAGTGCATGTTTACATTCATGCCGGTTGCATTCTGGGCAGAAAGGGTCTTGGAGCTTCCGAACACAGCCTCCTTGTCCTGCTGGTCCTGGACAAGTTGTCTGGACAAGCCAGACGAGTTCTGAACGCAGCATTGATTGGGCAAATTAAAGATGATTTTCTTGTAGAGAACAAAAAGTTGCAGGTGTCAGTACGAGAAGTCATCTGTAGAGATGAATGGTAATGCCACAAATAAAGGAAAAAGATTGCAGAAAACACCGCTCACAGCCTAAATCCACTCAGCGCTCCTAAGTCTCAGGACAGAGCCCTTCTGTTATCGACCTTTCCCTTTGGCAGTTACACTCAGTCACATCAACTTAAATTCTTGAAAAAAATAATGTTATACCATGGAGTTAAGGACTTCTCAGACAAGTGCATTCATATTGTAAAGAATTTCTGATATCAAACTACAAACTACCCAAAAGATGTGACAGTGTCTTCTCATAAATCATCTTAATTGCATCCTTACAACTGTACCATTGTTTCCCTTGAAACTTACTAAAATCTTGGAAAGAAAGCCTGCAATTTGAAGCCAAACACACTTGCACAGTCACGTATCAACCTAAGATTCTGTGCCGCAGCAAGGACTAGCATTAAGTAAACAACAAATATACGAGCAAGAAAGACCTTGGCCTATTTTTTATCACTGAGGAGACATCGCCAGGGATGTCTTCTGGTACAAGCTCTCTCTTGATGGAATAAAGAGGGGGACTCAGCCTTTGCCGGGGCGCTGATTGGCGCGGCAGGGGCAGCTCTTTTCGTTTGTCTGTCTGTCTGGCTCTCTTTTCTGTCTGTCTATTTGTCTCTCTTTTCTGTGTCTGTTTCTTTTTCTATTTGTGTCTCTCTCTTCTGTCTTTCTGTTTGTTTCTCTTTTTTGTCAGTCTCTCT